ATTAAGTTCATCCTGCATGTATGTTTTTGGGAGGTAATCACTGGATATTCCAGTGTTCTTCTGTTGCCTCTCCCAGATGTCATGTACTCAATAGCTTTACACAGTAGTTAGTGCTTGTAGCTAAGGTATGTGAGTGTGTCACTACTGCTCTAGTGTCCTATCAGTTGTGGCTATAATGCCTTAAATGGAGGCCTAATGATCTTGTTGAGTAATCCAAATCTTTATATATCTAATTACTATTAAGAAGCAATAGCCACCACTGGAAAATTCATTCAGTATTTGAACTTCTGTGTTTCATTCTGAGAATCTCAAAGAACCAGAATTCTTGTGTGTGTGTGTGTGTGTGTGTGTGTGTGTGTGTGTGTGTGTATGTATACCTCATGCTCATCTGAATAAGTATTTTCAAACTCTTCTGAGGAATACTGCACGAGAAAGAAGGCAATATAAGTTGAAAAACACAAAAATATCATATTCATCCCTGAGACTCAACGCATATGATATAATAAAGGCTTGGAAGAATCTTGTTCAATTTTGTTTAATCCAGTATTTTTCAAACACCTTTAGCCATGGAGCCCATCTAAAAATGGTATCTTGTCAACCACTTTTTCACAAGGAACAGTTTAGAAAATGCTGGCTTAAAGAAAACAGCTATGTGATTTCTTAGGGGTTATTCATTGTTTTGGGAGTTAGCTCTAGACGTTAGAATATACAAGGGGAGGACTGAAGGAAGGGTTGGGAATGGATGGAAGTCAAACCAATTACCTTAAATTCTAAAAATAAAACCCAGCAGTCTCCTCAAACTTAAATACTTTGTGTAGTCATATGGGAAATAGATTGTGAAACACATTCACAGTCTCTCTCTCCCCGCTCCCTTCTCTTTTTCTCTCTGTCACTGTTTCTAATTTCTTCCCCTGCAACAGCCCTGTGAGATAAGTAGGGCAAAGATTTTCATCTCCATTTTACCAGTGAAGAAAATAAACCAAGAAAGGCAAAATGGCATACATACCTAAGATCACACAGTCAGTAAATAGTAGTGTACTAACATAAAACCAGATCTTCTGACTTTCTGCCTTTGCATGATATCACCCTGACTAACCATATTAGTGTCCCTATTGTATGTAGTTTTTCAGTGAGTGAAAACTGCAGCTGAGAAGGAAGATTGTTTTTAGCACATGCCTGTTGAAGTGGCTCATGAGTGATGGTCAGATTTTCAAATTGCTTAACAGTCAACAGATCAACAAGCACATTGAAAGCAGAATATTCAACAAAATATTGAGATATTTCAGAAAATGTGTTATATCATTGAAGACAATGCTGGAAGTTTTATATATAGATTTTTCATTTTCTGGATTAGTGGCTTAAATATTACATTGTGTTATTTCATTACTATTGCTTTTTAAAAAATAATACCTTTATTAAGATAGAATTCATCCATATAAAGTGTACAAATTAGTGATTTTCAATATATTTAGAATTATGCAACCATCACCACTATCGAATTCAAGGACCACAAATTCAAAATTCATTACTCCAAAAAATAAAACCTGTACCCATTAGAAATGAGTTGCCATTTCCCATCAACCCCCCAGCCTTAGGCAGCTACCAGTCTGCATTCTGTCTATGAACATATTTACCTATTCTGGACATTTCATATAAATGGAATCATATGGTCCTTTGTGACTAGTTTCTTTTACATGGCATATTTTTTAAGATTGCTTTCGTAGCATATGTCAGTACTTTTTTCTGTTAAATAAAAAAATATTCCATGTATGCTCATATTACATTTTGTCCATTTATTAGTTGATATTTGGTTGTTTCCACTTTTAGTATTATGCATAATGCTGTGAACATTTGTGTACAAATTTTTGTGTGGATATGTGTTTTGAGTAATCTTGGGTATCCACCTAGTAGTGAATCATATGGCAGTTGGTCCTATGGTAGCAGATCATATAGAAGTGGGTCACATGGGAACCCTTAACCTTTGAGGAAGACTGTTTTCCAAAGTGACTGCACCATTTTACATTCCTACCAGCAGTGCGTGTATAAAGGTTCCAAATCCTCCACATCTCGTCAACTCTGATTCTGGTTTTGTTTTCGTAGCTACCCTAGTGGGTGTGAAGTGGTGTATCAATGTGGTTTGGATTTGCCTTTCTCTGTTGACTAATGATGTTGAGCATCTTTTCATATGCTTATTTTCCATTTGTATATCTTACTTGGAGAATTGTCTATTCAGATCTTTTGCCCATTTTTTAATTGGGTTATTTTATTATTGAGTTGTAGGTGGTTATTTTTAAGTTCCTGATCAGATTAGAAATTTGCAAACATTTTCTCCCTTTCGGTGGGTTTTCTTTTCACTTTTTTGATGTTATCTGAAACACAGAAGTCTTTATTTTGATGAAGTCCAATTTACTTGGTTGTTGTTTGTACTTTTGGTATCATATCTAAGACACCACTGCTTAATCTAAGGTCATGAAGATTAATGTCTATGCTTTCTTCTATGAGTTTTATAGCTCTAGCTCCTACATTTAGATCTTTAATCCTTTTTGAGTTAATTTTTGTATATGATATGAAGCAGGTGGGCCAAATTAATTCTTTTATATATAGCTATCCAGTTGTCACAGTGCCATTTGTTGATAAGAACTTGATTACTGTTCTTGCTTTAATAGAGAAGAATAAGAGTGGTTCAAGATCATGAGATGGCAGTGCTGTAACACTATGAAGAATGTTGCTGTTCTGTTTTGTGCAGCCTATTAAGCGACATCCAGATCAGGAGAGAGAAAGACCATTTCCTTCACGCTGAACAACTGCTCATTTTGTATTAATTTCCTCTTTGCTCTAGGTTTGAGCTCTCTGAAAGTAAAGTGTTTTGATGCCTATAAGATATACAAGGCTTTAAAATATTATCCTCTTATAAAGAGGAAGGATTCAAAAATGATTAATTTCTGAGAAGAGATAATGTATTGATAATTTGGAAAAAAATATGGTTTTTTGGCCCAATATTCTTAAAAAGGCAAAAGTGTGTTTGGTGACCTGTTTCAATCCATTTTTAGCAAGAAATACTATCCCACCTAATACTTATTCTTGTGGAATTCAAGAGTAGATTCTATTACACTGTTTTCCAGCACAGTAATGGAGGATTTGGTCAAGTAATAAGGTGGGCACAAAACAAAGGTGCAAAGTCATTCTCATGCAGATAGAAGACCAAGAACTGGACAATGAGGATAGGTGTGTATATTAAGATTTTTTAGATTCAGGAGTTTTACTGATTAATGAAACAATACAATTCTCATTGTTTACTATTTATATTTGCTATTCTTAGAGTTGAAAGGAAGCAGAGAATTTATTTGATGTCTGTGGATAAATCAGGGCTAGATTGCCACATTGATGAGAGAAAGGCCAAATTTCTCACATTCTTGTCACTCTGATATATTGATAACTAATGACCATTAGAGTGGTATATGCAACACATTTTAGCAAATCTGATGAAATGGGTTTTCATGTGCTAATTTGTTCTTTTAATTATCCTAGTTGTCATATAAATAAATTAGCCTCTGGGGTATTTATGCTTTATTTCCATTCTCTGAGATCCTTTCTACTGTGCACTTGAATCACCTGGGGATCTTGTTAAAACGCATATTCTGATTTGGGTATTGGAAGGAAGGCAAAATTCTGCATTTGAAACTAGCTCCCACATAATGTCAATACTTGGAGCGTTAGGGCCACACTTCCAACAGCAAGGCTTTCAATAACAGTTTCAGGAACAGAAGTCAGGCAAAGCCTCTTAAAGCCATTTTCCAATGTGTGTGTGTGTGTGTGTGTGTGTGTATGTACGTTGAATTATAATTTGTGTATGTGAGCCTTTTTGTAGTTTTTTGTGTTGGGCATAATATCTCCAGTGGTAATATTTAGAAAGAATGACAACATAGCGATGATGATGATGTAATAGTTGACATGTAATAGTTGACTACTTATGTCTCAGTCACTGTGCTTTACAAAGGTTGACTAAATTTTTCAACAAAATCATGAAACAGACATCACCACTGTTATCCCCATATACAAATGAGGAGGCTCAGTAACAAGTTTAGTAACTTGCCTATGGTCACACAACCAGAAGGTGACAGAGCCAGGACATCAACTCAGGTGGTCTGACTCTAGAGCTTGTACTTTTAATCTCTCTACTAGTGTGAGTATAGTCTGGAAACTGTTGATTTCATATAACATGTGTCTGAATTTTCTAGCTTTTTCCACAGTTCATATATGATGGATTTGAATTTTCCAACTTCTTTCCCAAAGGATATTTGAAGAGCATTTTTCTTCATTACGTTTCCTTTCTTATTGCTTTCTCATGATCTGTCAACAGTTTTTTAGTCTTTTCTATATATTTAGAGAAAAAGATCTCAACTTCCATATTCTTTTGATGCAAAAATTTATGGTGATAAGTAGGTGGTACCCTGTCCTGAATGAAAGTAAAGTGCTTTTAGTAATATTGAGGCATATGTTTTCTGCCAAGGAGTAGCCCAGGAAAATGTCAGATTTATAGGCCTGTCAACAGAAAAATGGTTAGATTCTTTAGTGTTATTAAAAATAAGGGTTTCTTTTCCTTTATCCAAATGGCAGTTATGATCTAGTCATTAGTTTGGAGACATACCATTCATTCTGACTTCTGCTGAACTACCAAATGGTCTTAGAGAAGCCAAGCAACCTTTCTTCTTTATCTTCTTCTCAGCCCATCAAATACTGGTAATATATGCAGTACCTTTATCCTTCAGGGTGTTAAAAAGAAATGAACACAGGAAGGAGAGAGTACTTCTAAGATCACAGGTGTTTGTAAGTTTGTGAAAGTGAAAGCTGTTTTGGATTAGAAAGCTGTGGTACCTCAGTTGTAGTTTAATTTGGAAATCAGGATAGGTCATGCATGATAAGTAAGAATACAACTGGCTCGTTACTCATTTCAAAGTAATAAAAAGTATTTACATTCATTATCTTTGTTTCTTTTACAGTCCATCAATATTATGGAACTGACTTTACAGAAATATGGAAGTTATGAAAAATTTGAACAGGCTACTGGTGGTAGCCTGCTATCTAAAACTCGAATCTGGAGTCATGTTAGGAAGTATATGATGAAAGAAGGCTGCATGGGTGAGGTATGAATTACAAGTGAACACAGCTGACTTTGGCATTTTAACTCTTAGTCAGTGCCACATTTTTTGCTGTAGGTTTTGTTTTCCCAACCCTATTTTGCTCATTAGTCATCAAGATTTCTTATTAAATACTTATTTCTGTTGCATTGAATTGTTGTGTTGTTCCTGTTTTTCTTACTACCATTTCTGTACAGCTTGTAGTATTATGTGAATTGTTCTCTGGAAATTATTAATGAAGAGATTTGCCCCAGTGGTCTCTCTTCCTAGTCAGTTCCTTGTAGGCATTCTCAAAATACTCCTTGACCCAGCAGTGGCAGGACTCTGGGCTCCTGCACCTGCTTTTATGTCATTTTAACCAGGGAACTGTACTTGAGAGCACAGTGGAGGCCCGCTTCGCTCCTGTGTCTTCCTCAGCACAGCTGTCTACTTTCCTTTTAATCCAGTAGAGGTTCTTGAGTGCTCAAAGGCTCAGAATTGGAAAGGCCGAAAGTGTTTGTCTCTGCACTCCACCTTCTTGGTTTCTGGGAAATTCAAGGTGGCATAAACAAAGAAAAAGGTTTTAACTTACCAGTCTATTATTTTCTGTGAAAGCTTTTTTCTTTTATGTATATGTAATTTTCCTCTTGCTCCTTAGATTGTGGTTCATCTCACTGAAGATCTGCTTTCCCGTGCATCAATGACAGTGGTAAATGGATGTCCAACACTGACCATCAATGTTTCCACTGCACGTGAGCATTGGCTGGAGGGAATGCTGAGGCATGAGATAGGTAGGGGCAACCCTTCTCCATTTGTTCATCTGTAATATCAGAAATTAACTTCAAAGAAACAGTCTTCTGTAATGGGTTTTCTCTTAATAGTATTTGACAAAAAGTAATGAAATTGTTAAGATTTCACTTGAACAAAAGCTAAGATATTAATGTCTACCTTCAAAATAGATTTTTCAGAGCACTGTATGGCTATATTAACATTGGAAAGTCATTTAACTCCTCTGGATTTCAGCTCCCCCATCTTAAACTGAGTGATCCTCCTGAAGGCAGTGTACTTACTCCCTCAAACCAAAAGGATTTAGGGCTAGGTCATTTTCTGTTTTGTTTTGATTTGTAGGAATACATCAATTTGATTTTAGAACTGTTGGTAAAATCTCTTCTTGGATAAGAATTGAAACAAAAATGGCATTTCTTGTTTTTCATGTGCCTTTTCTCATCCACAGGCACACACTATTTTCGAGGTATAAACAACCTCCAGCAGCCATGGAACAGTTGGACTGGCCGTAAAAAGCATGAGTTAAAGCCAAACAATCCCACAGAGGAAGGGCTGGCAAGTATTCACAGTGTCCTGTTTAGAAAAGACCCCTTTTTATGGAGGGCTGCTCTCCTCTACTACACAGTTTATCAAGCCAGCCAAATGTCTTTTTGTGAACTCTTCAAAGACATCGGGAAGTTTGTCAAGGACCCCAATACAAGATGGGATTATTGTGTACGAGCCAAGAGGGGATGGACTGATACTTCTCAACCAGGTAGGTGTTCCTTTTTCTGTAGGTTTTCTGGCTTTTTGGGTAGCTGTCTATTAATTTTGGTTACATCTAATCTGCCAACCAGAGAATTCACCATGAAAGATTAAACCTTTGTTACTTGAGATCAGAGTGAGTTTTCTGAAATCACATTTTGTTGGCATTATTTTTTCCCATCTCCTTTTGAAAAATTTCAAACCTACACAAGTATGGAAGTAAAAATAAGGAAGATTCATAAACTCATCTTCTAGATTCACCAATTGCTAACATTTTTCCATTTTTGCTTTCTCTCAACTTTAAAAATAGCTTTATTAAAATTTAATTTACATGACATATAATTCACATATTTAAAAGTGAATGCTAACTTTTGAAGTAAAAGTAAATTTCTAATTTTAATCTACTTTAGTGGGTTTTAGAATATTCAGGGTTATGCAGCCATCACCACTTTCTAATTCTAGAACATTTTCATCACTGCAAAAAGAAACCTGTACCTAATTATAGTCATTCCCCACTCCCTTACCCCATGCCCCCCAGCTGTAAGTGAACATTAATCTACTTCTAGAGGCTTGCCTATTTTAGACATTTCATAGGAATGGAATCATATAATATATGATCCTTTGTGGCTGGCTTCTTTTACTTAGCATAATGTTTTTAAGGTCCCTCCATATTTCAGCTTGTATCTGTATTTCAGTTCTTTTTATTGTGGCATACTATTCCATTGCATGTATAGGACACATTTTACTTATCCATTTACCAGTTAAGGGACATTTCAGTTGTTTCCACTTCTTGGCTATTGTGAATGATACTGCTGTGAACATTTGTGTACAAGTTTATGTTTAAATTCTCTTATGTATATACTTAGGATGGAATTATTGGGTCATATGGTAACTTTACGTTTAACCTTTTGAGGAACTTCCAGACAGTTTTCCAAAGTGACTGCACTATTTTACATTTCTACCAGCAATGCATTAGGGTACCTTTTCTCCATATCCTTGCCAAAACTTAGTATTTTCATTTTTTTTATTATTATAACCATCCTAGTGGGTGTGAAGTTGTTATATCATTGTATTTTTTGTTTTAAATCTTCACATATAAATCTTCTTTCAGTGTAACCTTTTTATGAATTTATTTTTTATTCAAGTACATGCAATAAAATGCACAAATCATAGTATACAGCTCAATGAATTTTGACATGCATATATACTCATGTTAACTCATGATTGCCCAGATCAAGATATCAAACATTTTATTTTCTCCCTTCACCTATTTCCCCCATCTCCCAAACACCTTCCCCTATGGCAACCACCAATCTATTCTCTATGTTTAGGAGTCTATTTCCATTTTCTTTGTTTTCTGTTATGGATTCCAAATATAAGTGAAATCATATTGTGTTTGTCTTTCTCTGACCTATTTTTCTTAGCATAATACCCTCTAGGTCCATCCATGTTGTTGCAAAGGGCAAGATTTCATTCTTTTTTTATGGCTGAGTGATACTATCTTTTATATGTGTACCACATCATCTTCATCCATTCATCTATCAATGGACACTTAGCTTGCTTCCATATTTTGGTCATTGTCAATACTTCTGTAATAAACAGGATTTTGTGACTCCAGATTAGTGATTTTTTTTGTTGTCAGGTAAATTCCCAGAGGTGGAATTATGGGGTTTTGTGAGAAACTTTCATACTACTTTCTACAGTAGCTGTACCAATCTGCAATTGCACCAGCAGTGTATGAAGGTTCCCCTTCCTCCACATCCTCATCAAAACTTGTTATTTCTTGTCTTGCCAATATTAGCCATTCTGGCTGGTGTGGGGCAATCTTGTGGTTTTGGTTTGAATTTCCCTGGTGATTAATGATATTGAGCATCTTTTCATGCATCTGTTAGCCATCTATATGTTGTCTTTAAGAAAATATCCATTTAAGTCTTCTGCCCATTTTTAATGGATTTTTTTTTTTGGTGTTGAGTTATGAGTTCTTTATGTATTTTAGATATGAGCCTCATATCAGATATATCATTTGCAAATATATTCTCCCATTCAGTAGGTTGCCTTTTTGTTCTGTTAATGGTTTCCTCTGCTTTCCAGAAGCTTTTTAGTTTGATATAGTCCCACTTAATTATTTTTCCTTTTGTTTCCTTTGGGGAGACAATATCCAGAAACAAATTACTAATGCTGATGATCAAGAGTTTACTGCCTATGTTTTCTTCTAGGAATTTTATGGTTTCAGGTTGTACATTTAGGTCTTTAATCCATTTTGAGTTTATTGTTGTGTATGGGGTAAGACAGCGATCTACTTCATTCTTTTGTATGTAGCTGTCTAGTGTTCCTGATACCACTTATTAAAGAGACTTTTTTCCCATTGTATATTCTTGCTTCCTTTGTCACATATTAAGTGCCCATGAAAGAATGGGTCATTTATTAATTGACTATATAATGGAACTCTGTAGTCTGTTCCATTGATCTGTATATCTATATTTGTGCCAATGCCATACTGTTCTGGTTACTGTATCTTTGTAGTACAGTTTGAAATCAGGGGACATGTTATCTTCAGCTTTGTTGTTCTTTCTCAAGATTCCTTTGGCCATTTAGAATATTTTGTGGATTCATACAAATTTTAGGATTATTTGTTCTAGTTCTGTGAAAAATGCAGTAATATTTTAATAGGAATTACATTGTACTTAGATTGCTTCAGATAGTATAGCCATTTTAACAATATTCTTCCTATCTATGAGCATGGGATAGCTTTACATTTATTTATGTCATTCTCAGTTTCTTTCATCAAAGTCTTATGATTTTCATAGTACAGGTCTTTCACCTCCTTGGATAGATTTATTCACAGGTATTTTATTCTTTTTTATACATTTGTGAATGGGATTGTTTTCTTAATTTTTCTTTCTTCTAGTTCATTATTTGTATATAGAAATGCTACAAATTTCTATAAATTGACTTTGTATCCTGTGACTTTACTGAGTTTATTTATTAGTTCTAATCGTTTTTTGGTAGAGTCTTCAGGGTATACAGTATCATGTCATCTACAACTAGTGTGTTATTTCTTCATTACCAATTTGGATGCCTTTAATGTTTCTTCTCTGCTTACTGTGGCTAGGATTTCTAGTACTATGTTGAATAAAAGTGGTAAAAGTAGTTATACTTGTCTTGTTTTTGATTTTAGAGAAAAAGCCTTCAGCTTTTAGTCATTGAGTATGATGTTAGCTGTGAGTGTGTCATATATGGCCTTTATTATGTTGACATATGTACCCCTATATCTACTTTGTTGAGTTTTTATCATTAAATGGATGCTGAATTTTGTTAAATGCTTTTTCAGCATCTACTGAGATGATATGTTTTTTATCCTTTCTTTTGTTAATATGGTATATCACATTGATTGATTTGCAGATAATGAATCCCTGGTATAAATTCCACTTGGTCATGGTGAATGATCCTTTCAGTGTATTTTTAAATTTAGTTTGCTAGTAGTAGTTTGTGGAGGATTTTTGTATCTATGTCCATCAAGGGTATTGGTCTGTAATTTTATTTTTCTGTATTATCTTTGGATTTAATATCAAGTTGATGCTAGGCTTGTAGAATGAATGTGGAAACTTTCCTTCCTCTTCAGTTTTTTGGAACAGTTTGAGAAGGATAGGTATTAACTCTTTAAATATTTGATAGAATTCTCCTGTAAAGCCATCTGGTATTGGAATTATGCTTATTAGAAGTTTTTTCATTACCAATTTAGGTTCATTACTAATAAGTGATCTGTTTAGATTTTCTGTTTCTTCATGGTTCAGTCTTGGGGGATTGCATGTTTCTAATAATTCATCCATTTCTTATAGATTTTCCAGTTTGTTGGCACTTAATTTTTCATAGTCTCATAATCTTTTGTATCTACATACATTTGTCTCTCTCATAATCGTTTGTATCTCTGTGGTGTTAGTTGTAACGTTTCCCCTTTCATCTCTGATTTTGAGTCCTCTCTGTTTTTGTAAGTCTAGCTAAAGGTTTATCAATTTTTGTTGTCTTTTTTAAGAATCAGCTGAGTTTCACTGATCTTTTGTATATATTTTTTTCATCTTTATTTATTTCCACTCTGATCTTCATTATTTTCTTCTAATTTTGGCTTTGTCCTAGTTTCTTTAGGTGGAGAGTTAGACTGTTAGAAGTATTTCTTGTTCTTGAGGTAGGCCTGTATCACTATAAACTTCCCTTTTAGAACTGCTTTGCTCTGTGCCAAAGACTTTCAACTGTTGTATTTCTATTTTCATTACAAGTATTTTTTGATTTCCTCATTGGCACATTGGTTATTTAGTAGCATGCTGTTTAGCTCTAGTTTTTTCTTATAATTGATTTCTAGTTACATACTATTGTGGTCAGAAAAGATTAATGGTATGACTTTAATATTCTTAAATGTATGAGACTTGAGCTTTGTCCAAGCATGTTATTTATTCTGGAGAATGTAGTATGTGCACTTGATAAGGTTGTGTTATCTGGTGTTTTGGGATCTAATTCTTTATGTATCTTTTGGGTCCCTTTGCTCTAATGTGTCATTCAAAGCCTCTGTTACCTTATTGATTTCTGTCCGAGTGATCTATACATTATGTAAGTGGGGTGTTAAAGTCCCCTATTATCTTATTACTGCCAATTTCTCTTTATGTCTGTTAATATTGCTTTATCTATTTCAGTGCTTCTTTGTTGGGTGCATAGGTATTTACAACTTTTGTATCTTCCTGCTGGATTGAGCCTTTATCATTATGAAATGTCCTTCTTTATCTCTTGTTACAATTTTTGTTGTAAACTGTATTTTGTCTGATATAAGTACTGCTACTTCAGCTTTTTGTTTTCATTTCCATTTGCATTGACTATCTTTTTCCATCACTTCAATTTCAGTCTGTGTGTCTTTAGGTGAAGTGAGTCTTTTGTAGGATGCATATAGATGGGTCTTGTCTTTTTATTCAGTATCACTGTGTCTTTTCAGTGAAGTACTTAGTCCATTTACATTTAAGGTAATTATTGATAGGTATTTGCTTACTACCATTTTGTTAAATGTGTTCTGGTTGGTTTTCTCATTCTTCTCTGATCCTTCTTCTCTTGCGTGTGATGACTTTCTTCAGTGATATGGTTGGATTCCTTTCTCTTTTTGTGTACCTATTGTAGGTTTTTGGTTTGTGATTACTATAAAGTTCATATATGACATTGTACACATAGCAGTCTATGTTAAGTGATGGTTGCTTAAGTCTGAACACATTCTAACGGCACTACATTTTTGCTCCCCTTCTTCCACACTATGTATATGAGGTCTTCATTTATCTTTTTATTTAGTGATTCCCTTAACTAATAGAAGTAATTGATTTTACTTTTTTCTTTTAACCTTATTAGTAGCTTTAAAATGATTTATCTACAACCTATGCTGTTTTCTTTTACTAATGAAATTTTATTTTCATAATTTTCTTGCTTCTAGTTATGCCTTTTCTTTTCCTCTCGAAGAAGTCCCTTTAATATTTCTTGTAAGGCCAGTTTGGTGGTGGCAAAGTCCTTTAACCTGCGTATATCTGGGAAACTCATTCTCTCTCCTTCAATTCTGAATGACAGTGTTGCTGGGTAGAGTAATCTTGCTTATGGGTTTTTTTTTTCCTTGCAGTACTTTGAGTATATTGTGCCACTGCCTTCTGGCCTGTAGTGTGTCTGCTGAAAAATCAGCTGATAGCCTTATGGCATTTCCTTTGTAGGTAGCTTATTGCTTTTCTCTTTCTACTTCTAAGATTCTCAGTCTTTGATGTTTAACATTTTAATTACTAAGTGTCTTGTTGTGGACCTCCTTGGGTTCACCTTATGTGGGTTCTTTTTGCTTCCTGGACCTGGATGTTGGTTCCCTAGGTTAGGGAAGTTTTCATCTATAATTTCTTCAAGTAAGTTTCCCACCACTTTCTCTCTTCTCATTCTGGGACTCCTGTAATGTGACTGTTAGGATGTTTGATGTTCCAGGGCTCCCTTAACCAATCCTCATTTCTTTTTCATTTCTGTTCAGCTTTAGTGCTTTCCATAATTACTCTGTCTTCCAAATCACTGATCTATTCTTCAGTATCTTCTAATCTCCTGCTGATATCCTCTAGTGTGTTTTTCATTTAATTCATTTTATTCTTCATCTCTGGTTCTTTTTTATATTTTCTATCTCTTTGTTGCAGTTCTCACTGAGGTCATTCACTTTTCTCTCAAGTCTGGTGAGCATCTTTATGACCATTACTGTGAACTCCTTATCAAGTAGATTGCTTAAGTGTTTCATTATAGTGTTTTTGTTTAAGCATATTTCTGTCTTCTCATTTTGTGTGACTTTGTGTTTCTATGGGCCAGACAAAAGGGCTCCTTCTCCCAGCCTGAAGAGTGGCCTTGTGTAGCAATGTTCCATGGGTAGATTTGTGTGCCTTGCAGTTTTGGCTGGCTGGCTGAGGGTCGGATGGGAATGGGCTGGGTATCCTGGTGCTGGGGCTTGCAGGCACTGCTGGAGGTCTCCTGGCTGGGTGCCAGCAGGGGCTGTGTTAGTGGGGCAGCAGATGTTGAAGAGGTTCAGTTCAGGGAGCTTCTGGGTTAGCAATGGACTGGGCTCTTGCTGGTTGGGCAACTGGAGCTAGAGGGGCACAGTCTGAGGGCCTCTCATGGGCATTAGCTGGGGTCATGCTAAATGGGGCAACTGTGGTTAGATGGGTACAGTTGAGGGAGAGGGTCTTCCAGGTTGGCACTTGGCCAGGTCATGCAAAAGGGGATGCCAGGGACTGGAAACGTGGGTAGGTTGAATCCATGTCAGAATCACACTAGTGCTGCCTTGGTAGGATTGGTGGATCTCTGACAGGTGTATAAGAATGTGGGCTGGGAGGCCACCTCTGTCAAAGCTGGATCTGGTGTGTGCAGTCTTGCTGTTCCTGTCCACACTGTCAGTGTTTGTGGGGAACATAAGTGGTGTTGCTCATCTTGTACCAGCACTATCAGTGTGTGTATGATGAATGTAAACGATGTCCCTCACCATTTCTTTCTGTGTGGGTGGACATAAACAGTAGCACTCACCTTGCTCCCATCTGCTCTATCCATGTGCACGGAAATCATGAACAGTGGGGTTCACTCTGCTCCCACATACATTTGCAGTGTCTGAGGGGAAGGGGGCATGTAAACAATGGTGCCCATTCTGCTCCCAGCCCCACTAGCAATGTCTTGAGAGGATGTAAATAATGGCACTCACCAGAACCTCCTATCTTTGGAGAGAGTTCTGGCAGTTCCCCTGCCATATGGCAGGTGCCTTAGTTCTGAAAATCAATTTCCTTCAGTTATAGTTGCTGCTGGCTTTAGACTATCTAACTCATGGCTTTTTTTCTGTGCTCCCAGGCAGGTGAGTCTGTCCTCTTGTAGCTCAGTGAAATGCCTGCCTACAGGGCCATGCTGGGCGTGGGCTTCTTCTGTTACCATTTATCTGTCTCTCCTTTCTTTTATGGTCTTTTTATCCCTCATTATACAAGTGTTCAGTCAGGCTTCAGTTCTTAGGGTGGACTGCTCTGTGTGTAGGTGTAGATTTGGTATGTATGTGGGAAGAGGTTGGCTCAGGCTCTTTCTGTACTCCCATCTTGGACCTGCCTCAAGAATTCTTTTTTTAAAAACAGAACTGATTCCTACAACAAAAGGAATAGGTTAGTATATAATTATTTTCTGATGTTTAAAAAATTACTAAGTAAACACTATTCTGGTTCCTCCAGGGTGTTTCAGTAAAGACCAGGTATACTTGGATGGCATCCTGCAAATTCTCCGATACAGAGAGACCATCGATTTTCATTTACTAACTGCCCTGGGGAAGGTAAGTAAGACCAGCAGCACATAGTGCCCAAAATACTGGGTCAATATTTCCTCTAGATTAATTTTATAAGTGAGGCCTAAACTATTTTTACTTTGTTGCTGGAGTAAGTTTCCTTTAGGTGATAATAGGAGGGAATTAATATGGTTCTGTCTTAGAACCAAACAGCAAAAATTTCTCTATAGAAAATAAATGCTAAAGAAGGGTATAGGAAATTTGGATTCTGTAGTTTTATTTTTATATGCAACTTTTTCTCTCTAAAGTAAGCTGCAGGTATAACACTTACCCCCTTAATACTTCTGCATATGTCTCCCAAGAATAAGGATATTTTCACATGACCATATAATTTTCTTTAAAAATTTATCGTTTTGTTATCTAAAAAAGTCTACTTCATATATCTCTGATTGTCCCCACAATGTCCTTTGTACTCTTTTTCTGTGACCTAGGATCTAATCAAGATTCATGACTTATACTTCATTAGAATCTTTATCTCTTTTAATGTATAAAAGTCCTCCTCACCCTAGTCTTTGTTTTTCATGATGTTTTTAAGAGTCCAGGATTATCAGATTCTTTGACTCCCTTAAAATGAAGACCCATCTCACTTGCTTCCATGGCTGTATGAAGAAACAACTTCTTCTGCACCATCCCCTGAAGCTAGGGCAAAGGCCTACCCACAGCACACTTACCTCTGGGAGGTAAAGTGCATATGGAGACTTCAGCCTTCCATAGTGATGTTTGGTAACCTCTCCATATCACATAGGGGCAAGTTACTTCCAAGTAATTAGGTTCAGGTTAAATAATTTTGCCAAGAATACTATATAAGTTGTATATTTCCTATTGCATCTCATTAGAAAGTATGGTGTCATTTTTTTAACCTTGATATCTTAATCTTTTTAAAAAATTTTAGTATCATTAATATACAATCACATGAACAACATTGTAGTTACTAGATTCCCCCCATTATCAAGTCCCCACCACATACCCCATTAAAGTCACTGTCCCATTAGCATAGTAAGATGCTATAGAGTCACAACTTGTCTTCTCTGTGCTATACTGCCTTCCCTATGCACCCCCCCTACATTATGTGTGCTAATCATAATACCCCTTATTCCCCTTCTCCCTCCCTTCCCAGCCACCCACCCCAGTCCCTTTCTCTTTGGCAACTGTTAGTCCATTCTTGGGTTCTGTGATTCTGCTGCTGTTTTGTTCCTTCAGTTTTTGCTTTGTTCTTATGCTCCACAGATAAGTGAAATCATTTGGTACTTATCTTTCTCCGCCTGGCTTATTACACTTGAGCATAATACCCTCTAGCTCCATCCATGTTGTTGCAAATGGTAGGATTTGTTTTCTTCATATGGCTGAATAATATTCCATTGTGTATATGTACCACATCTTCTTTATCCATTTATCTACTGATAGACACTTAGGTTGCTTCTATATATTGGCTATTGTAAATAGTGCTGCGATAAACACAGGGGTGCATATGTCTTTTTGAGATTGGGCTCCTGCATTCTTAGGGTAAATTCCTAGGAGTGGAATTCCTGGGTTAAATGGTATTTCTATTTTTAGTTTTTTGAGGAACCTCCATACTGCTTTCCACAATGGTTGAACTAGTTTACATTCCCACCAGCAGTATAGGAGCGTTCCCTTTCTCCGCATCCTCGCAGGCATTTGTTGTTCCTAGTCTTTTCTACATTGGCCATCCTAACTGGTGTGAGGTGCTATCTAATTGTGGTTTTAATTTGCATGTCCCTGATAATTAGCAATGTGGAACATCTTTTCATGTGCCTGTTGGCCATTTGAATTTCTTCTTTGGAGAAGTAGCATGATGTCATTTTGTCCCATTATTGCTGAAGCTGAATTTGATCACCTGGGTTAGTTACTGCCAGATCACTCCATTATAAAGGTACCTTTCCCCCATTATATTAATAAGTAATCTGTGGGGTGATACTTATAAATGTGCTGTTCCAAAACAACCTTTCAAGGAATGGTTTCATCATCCATTGGTTTATAATATTTGCCCAAATCAGTTAATAAACTGTTGGTAGCAAAAGAAAGATAAATTGTTATATTTCATTTCCCTTTTCTGTAATATTATCCTGGACTTATTTTTATTCAGCCCTTCCAATGGATGCTTCTGTAATTTTATTTTCAAACACGTATCCATGTTTTCTGGCAAAGTAAAATGTTCTGGGCTCATCTTACATTTTTCCTACCCAAATCTGTGATTGGCTATTTCTCCAAGGAAGCCTTGATTTTTCTTAGTGGGAAATGGTATTTGGAAAACAAGATCTGAGCACCAGAACTCAGCTACTGGGATGCTGATGCTTCATCTTTTCAGTAAGCAAATTGTATATATTTGTATAATTTTAAAAAATACTTTGAAAAATTCAAAGTAAAAGCAACAGAATTTAACACAAAACACAAGCCACTATAGTTCTCAAATTAAATAGAAACAGTAATCCAGTGTATAATTGTATCAGTTTTCCTATTTAATAGAGTATTTAGATTCTAACTATTTTCTTCTTTTATTTAGTCAGGAGATTTGCTTGAGCTTAGAGTCCCTCACACACATATATTAAGCTTTGCTATGTAATTTCTAGCAAACTGAGTTGGTCCAGAATGTGCTTATTTGACACAGTAATGTAAAGGAAACTACTGATATTTTCAGGTATTAAAGTAATTTGAACAGTGCATATACTTAAGATTTTCACCTAAAACCCAGGGAAGAAATTGCTTTCAAAATGTAATGGGTTAATTTTTAAACATAATTACCAGTCTTCCTTTTTTTAGGTCTCTTATGAAGATGTGGATCGGTTAAAAGGATTGGCAGTTATTGAAAACATGAGGGTCCCTCACTTCCTGCAGGACCATGGTCGATATATGGAACACTTAGAGAAGATCATGGAAGTGAATGAACTGACCGACAGGGAACTGAAAGATCTTATATATTAATTAACTTTCTTGCAGACATAGCTCAGCTATACCTCTATGTATATTACCAGTTAGGTGCAGTTAGCACCAGCAGATTTATAAAAGAAGAATGTTTACATGAGTTTTCTGAAGAATGCTCTGCAGTATTCTGGATTTTAAGGTTAAGTACGAACCTTAAACTATTTACCTGTAATGTTTCTATAGGTTGCAGGGGGAAGTTACTCCTGCTTTCATCTAAGACTCAACAAAGTCAGATGAAAATATTACTGATGAGTATTTTTGAAGAACCTCAATCAAATTGAGTGATAAACTTCTGCCTGAGCACCAAGCCACTTCTCACTAGAAATTGAATTACCATGTTGTTCAAACTCCAAGGTTATATTTTAGTTGATAAATTAATAGTAACTATTCTCATTAGTTTTGTTATACCCTTAAAATCTAGCTATATCTAAGATTTCTCATTTTTCTTATATGCTAAGTAATGTTAAAAAAAAGGAAGAAGCAATTTGAAAAGTTCTTTATTTCCCTTATGGTTTTACCTTATCAGTTTATAGGAATTAGAGAATTACCTCATTTTTCCAGTTATCCTTTAACTAAACTAGTTTCATTTGCTGAAACATATTGTACCCCTTCAAAATTTTAAGTAATGAAGTTTTAGAGTCTTTCCCTCTCCATACCTTTATGTGAACAAATTTAAGTTCCAGAGAGGTTTGTCTACATAATTAAAATATGGGAAAAGGAGAAGCTACTCACCTTTTTATTAAATGGAATAATCAACAGGGGACAAATGCACTTATCTAGTTCATGTATAGGTTGGATGTTGACTGAATAACATCTACAGTAAACTTGACTATACTCTGAAAAATGGAATTTTGGGGCATTGCAATTTGATAAATTAGCCTTGTGATACTAGCTCAGTGTATTTTATCAAAATCTGACTTCATCAACCTAATAATAACATAGTTTGAATTTAAAAAATGAGAGGTCTGTTTTGTTCCATTTCTCCTGCTAAAAGTTTATATACCTAGCACTGTAATTGATCAATTTTAGTACATACTTGGATATATATATATATATACTTGAGATTGAAAGGTTCTTCAAACATCTTATTTTAATGATTGGAAAGAATACTGCTGTAAACACCCCATTCAAAATTGCTACTGTAATTTCTCTGCAAAGCTACCTGAGAGAGTTTATCTTTACCTCAAGTCAGGCTTAAATATGGTGCTAACAATGGTAAATGCATACTACAAACGCTGGTCCACATTCATGGTAGGAAATGATTTTAGGAAATATTTTGCAGGCTATGTTATGTGATTTTTCTCATTCCCATAGCCAGAAAGGCTTGCCTCAAAGAAGAATGTTGTAGCAAACAGGATATACTCTAGCTGGCACTTGGAAGTCCTTGCAAAGCGATGCATCTCATCTTAGTAGTAGCAGGCCAGGCGCTTTGTAGCATTGAAGGTGTTCACAGATGTGCCATGCTGGCTAGAGTGTGGCCTGCACATCTCTCAGCAGGGCTTGGGAGCACAGCGCATCAACATTAACTAGGCACTGGACAACCACTCTTGACCCTCAATCAGTATTTCCTTGTAGGACAATCTTCTAGTTTCAGCTTTGTGTAGTGTCTTCTGACTTCATCTTCAAACTTATCAGAGATGATTGTGAAAACAATGTCTTATTTATTGATATTGAAATATAGACAGAAATGGCAATATTTATGTCCTGTGATTTAAGACCAAATGCTTATAAACTCAGTATTTGTAGGCAGTAACACTGCTAATCTTATGGTTTTAATATAAAGGAAGATCATAGCAGCCTTAATTTACTATTGGAAGGATTATTTGCAGTGGTTCTAGTCCCTGAATTTAAAAATGGATACTCTCTCTTTATCTGATTTGGAAAAGGAAAATCTTCCTAGCCTTACTGCTTTGGTATATAGAGACAGAAAACATGAGCACTGTCCAGGCAGACCTTTAAATCACACTGATTGTCTTAAGATATTTTAAAAGTTAGCAATGAACCAAAAATAGTTTCAGATTAACAGAAATACAGAGCTCTAAACTTTAAAAGTTGTTGGGGTTGAAGATTAAATTAATGTTTATTCTCTTTTATTAAATAGCAATTAGGTCAGCTTTGTTCCCTAAGAGTTTTAATTAATAGAAAAGCATAGTAGCAGCACTTAGGAAAATAGTTGAAGATTTATTAATTTTAATAGTTATTTGCAATAGGCAATTGATGATTAAGATTTCATCAATTTTGTCCACTGTAATTCTAACATGGTTGTAGCAAATACAAATTCTGATAAACTGTTAGGTTTTCCCTCCAGATGGGATTCAAAGTAAAGTTCTTTGCAAATGTAAATCCATAGTCTTCATTTCTTTATATTTTCACCTTTGTAAAAGTATTTAAAATTTATATAGTTTGTTTTGTATATCTTTGGGCATTTGTGTCTAGCTATAATAGAAATAAATAGCATTGAGGTTCTCAAGTGAAGTCAGTGAATATATATGCATATAAACTTATGTTCTTTGAAAATCGAATTATATTTTCATTGTGGTATTTCTGGTTTTTTATTGTGTGATAATTACTGAAGAGACCATTAGTCATGTTTGTCTTCAAGTATCCTTATTTATAGAAAAAAACATTATGTTTGCCACACTCTACCATTCCCCTGATTAGTTCAGTTTATACTCTCATGGGGCATAAGGAGAAGGGAAGAGGAGAGAGGGATAATTTTGTCTTAATTTACTACACTGTTCATTGAGTAAACTTTTACACATAACTTACTGGGAGCAGGATCTGTGCTGAGTGCTAAAGATCCTCTGATGAGGGGGAGAAGAACTGTTCACAATCTAGTAAGGAAGACTGGTACAGAACCAGGTTACAGCACAGCCAGTCCCATACCCTGGAAGTGCTACCAAAAGAACATAAACTGTAGTAAATGGGCCTGCTCATGTGTTTGAGGCAAGGAGAAAGATCACCTGTAAAGTGGGGTGTGTTCACAATACTTTATTACCATTCTTTGTAAGGCATGTGGTTGGAACCTGAGTAGCTTTAGCCCAGGAGAAAAAATTTACCATGAATACAGCTGCTTGGGTCAAAGGCCTGGAGGAGATCCCTTGAGACCTCTAGCAGGTGCCCAGAAGAACCAACTCTTCATTCTTAAGCTTACTTTTGGTTTTGAATTCAAATGTTTACTGCACTTAAAAGAAAGCCTTGTTAGCTGGCTATAATTTCATCCATTTTTGTTCATTCTGATTATAATAGCTAACAGAAAAAAACATCTTGAAACTAATGCCAGGATGTGAAATACCAGTGTTTGAAAGCTAGCTATGAAAGAGCTTTAAGAATATGTGGAATTTCAAGCTCACAGAGGGAGGACTGTATGAAGAGGAAGCAAGAGGGCAGCCATCTGTAAGCCAAGGAGAGATGCCTAGGACAGATCCTTCCCTTATGGCCCTCCAGAGAAACCAAACCTGCCAGTACCTTGATCTTGAACTTCTAGCCTTCAGAACTGAAAGGAATAGCACCTAGGGAAAGAGGACAAAGCAAAAAGAGCAGAAATGTGACTACCAAGACTACTAAACATTCATTTCTTCCCAGCCATCCAGTTATCCTAATTGGAGACAACCAACTTCAGAAGTGACATTAGTAACATGGCTGAATAAGACATCCCTTATTTTCATCCTCTCCCCCAACAACAATTTGACATCCATCTACAGAGAAAAATGCCTTCCTGGGAGCTTTGGAATCCAGTATCATACATCCAGCAATTCAGAAAGAATCTTGCCCACTGACTCACTGGGTATTAGACATACATACATAGGTCCTGGCTTGGACCATGCAATGGCTAGTGAACCAGCTCTAGACTGTTTCAACTCCAGCCCAGAAATCCCTAGAAAACACCATCTTACACAATCACCCATGGACAAGAGAGCCTTTGTGAAAGTCCAGATTTCCAGCAGACAGGTTGCAGCACATTATTGGAGAAAAAAAAAATGAGTTCAGGTGCAATGAAGAGGAACATTGAAGAGGAACAATGGACTTTACTAACATCACCGCTCCCTCAGGGTGGCACAGCTCAGGGCAGAAGGCTTATTTAAAGAAATAATGGCTGAAGACTTCCCAAATCTGAAAAGAAATTTTGGAATATCCAAGTTCATGAAGTTCATAGGTCAAAGTAATCTTCTCCAAGACATTTATAATAAAAATATTTTTTTAAAAAGTCAAAGACAAAGAGAGAATCTTAAAAGCAAGACAAAAGAAGTTTGTAACTTAAAAGGGAACCTCCATACTGTCATCAGATTTCTCAGAAGAAATTGTACAGGCCAGGGAAGAGTAGATGATACATTCAAACTACTGAAAGGAAAAAACCCAGCAAACCAAGAATACATGAGCAAAACTGTCCAGCAGAAATGAAAAAGAGATAAAGACATTTCCAGAAAACAAAAGCTGAATTTACCACCACTAGACTTGACTTACAGGAAATGCTTCCAATCACAATTCCAAAAGGATATTTTTGATAGATTGATTCTAGAGCTCAGTTAGAAAATACATGAAAATACTGAGCATATATCCTTTGACCCAACAATTCCACATCAGGATTTATCTAATATATGTACTATCACAATACTTATTCATCACATATACATTGCACATATGTGCATGGATATATGTATAAGGATATTCACTGCAACATTATAGTAACAACAGAGTAGAAACAACTTAAAACTCATTATCAAGGCACTAGTTAAGTGACTAGAAAATGCTATACAGAAAATGGGGGCATAGAGAGAACCCAAATGACTTCCAACTACACACTGAATTTACACCTACATACAGAGCATTTTCTCTTGAGGAAGAATTGAGGCCTGAGTGAGCACCTGCACAAAGAAGAATAGAAATACCACATAAAATATGTCAGGACATATGGAGGCACAAATAGCAGGAACCACACCCCCAATTTAGCCCTGTAATAGGGAGGGATTTTACTGAGGGACCAGAATGCAGTCACCTGCCCTCAGACACAGGGGAAAAAAAGGAATTTAAAGGGAACTACACTGTAAGTGAAGGAAGCTGATTTTAGAACTTAAACCATCCACTAAATGGTGAGGGAACTCCTAGAACCCACTTTGGGATCAGAGGTACAGGTGAGTGTCATTGTTTGCATTCCTCCCACACAGTGTAAACAGGAGTAGGCACTGGAGGTACACACCAGATTCAGATGTAACCAAGGTGGCCTCCCAGCCCCCACACATGGCCAAATGTGTCCCCTGGAGATCCAAAAGTCCCACCAAGGTGGCAGTAGCATTGCACTCACACAGATGCACCCTGCCCATGCTGCTTCTGAGTCCACATCAGCATGGTCTTGGCCAGCACCCACCCAGATTCTCCCAACCCCCTTCATCTCCTATCCTTGGCTGCTCCCCAAGTGTTGCCCTGGCTGGCACCAAACTGAGAGATTTCCAGATGATGCCCCTCTGCCACCAGCTGCAATCTAGCTTATCAACTGAAACTGCCAGGCACACAAACCTACCAATGTGACATTTCTGCACAAGTCCACTCCTTCAGGCTGGGAGAAGGAGCCCTTTTGCCTGACCCATAGAAACACAAAGTCAAACAAAATGAGAAGACAGAAATATGTGTAAACAAAAAAATTTAAATTACTGAAAACTTCCCCAATCTGGAGAAAGAAATAGTCTCTCAGGTCATGGAAGTGCACAGATTTCCCAAGACAAGGGACCCTAGGAAGACAACACCAAAACATATGATAATTAAAATGGCAAAGATCAAGGACAAAGAGAAAGTATTAAAAGCAGCCAGAGAGAGAAAAAAAATCACATACAAAGGAAAACCCATCAGGTTATCATCAGACTTCTCAGCAGAAACCTTACACATCAGAAGGGAATGACATGATGTATCTAATGCAATGAAACAGAAGGGCATCCAATCAAGAATATTCTACCCAGCAACATTACCATTTAAATTTGAAGCAGGGATTAATTTCCAGATAAGCAAAAGTTAAGGGAATTTACCTCCCACAAACCATCTCTAAAGTTTATTTTGAAGGGACTGCACTAGATGGAAGTGCTCCTAAGGCTAAATAGCTGTCACCAGAGAAAATGAAACCACAGTAAAGGAAGTAGACCAATTAATTACTGAGCTTAACAACATGCTCCTAATCAATCAATGGATCAATGTCCAAATAAAAACAGGGATCAAGCAATCAATGGAGATAAATGAAAACAACAAGAACACCCCAGAACCTGTGGGATACAGTGAAGGCAGTCCTAAGAGGGAAGTATATTGCAATAGAGGCCGACCTCAAGAAAGAACAATCCCAAATGAATAGTCTAAACTGACAATTAATGAAACTAGAAAAAGAAGAACAAATGAGGCCCAAAGCCAAAGGAAGGATATAAAGATCAGAGCAGAAAAAAATACAATTGAGAAGGATAAAACAATATCAATGAAACCAGGAGCTCTTTTTTCAAGAAAATAAACAAAATAGATAAACCCTTAGGGTTAGTCAGAGTCATCAAGAAAAAAGAGTCTATAACACATAAACAGAATCAGAATTGAGAAAAGAAAAATCAATAGGGATACCATGGAAATACAAAGAATGATTAGAGAATACTATGAAAAATTACATGTTAACAAATTGGATAACCAAAAAGAAACTTTCTAGATAAGTACAACATTCCAGGATTGACCCAGGATGAAAGGGAAATTCTGAACAGACCAATTCTGAGCAAGGAAATTGAACTGGTAATCAAAAAAACTACCTAAGGACAAAACCCCTGGACCAGATGGCTTGAAGGCTGAATTTCAACAAACATTTAGTGAAGACCTAATACCCACCCTCCTTAAAGTTTTACAAAAAGTAGAAGAGGAGGGAATACTTCCAAACTCATTCTATGAAGCCAGCATCCCTCTAATACCAAACCAGGCAAAGACACCATAAAAACAGAAAATTACAGACCAATATCCCTGATGAATATAGATGGAAAAACACTCAACAAAATATTAGCCAACTGAATTCAAAAATACATTAAAAAGATAATCCATCATGACCAAGTGGGATTTATTCCAGGGATGTAAAGATGGTACAATATTTGAAATTCCATCAACATCATACACCACATCAACAAAAAGAAGGACAAAACTCACATGCTCATCTCCATAGATACCAAAAAAGCATTTGACAAAATTCAACACCCACTCATAATAAAAACTCCCAACAAAATGGGTATAGAGAGCAAGTACCTCAACATAATAAAGGCCATATATGACAAACCCATAGCCAACACCATACTTAGCAGCAAAAAGCTGAAAGCTTTTCCTCTAAAATCAGGAACAAGACAAGGACACACACTCTCCCTACTTTTCTTCAACACAGTACTGGAGGTCCCAACCATGACAATCAGACAACATAAAGAAATAAAAGACATCCAGGCTGGTAAGGATGAAGTTAAACTGTCACTGTTTGCAGATGACATGATATTGTACATTAAAAAACCCTAAAGAATCCACC